AAAAAAGATGAATATATAACGAAAAAGATCCAAACTTATTTGAACAAATTCGATTTTGCGAAATTTGTTATTTCCTTCGGAAATTAAAGAAAAGATGAGCAAGCATACATTAATTATAATTTCCGCATACCAAAGAAGAACAATGTGAGAATGTACACTGTCAATATCGTTCACCACTCGATTCAAACCGCTGTAAATTTTATGCAATTTTCTAATTTCTTCGGCAATTAACGATTCTCGCCTTTTGCAACATAAATCAACTGTTTTATTAAATTGGGCGGTTTTTTCTGATAATAGCAGACACAGCGATATGAAGTACAAAATTACGAACGTGCTGCACATATTTATATAACAGAACAGAATTTTGTCTAAGATAACAACTAAGTATATTATATTGAATGAAACGTCATTTATATCGTAAATCATAGAACAGTTATGCAAATCTAGATATGCTATACACGAAATTGTTGTGAAACTAATTATAAAATAGGTCCATCCGGCGATGGAGTACATACATACGTATCTTTTCGATTTTTTACACTTCTTATTGGAAAACGCACGACACACACTTTGTAATTTTGTCAAATACTCAAAAATACAACTTTCTTTCTTCCCGAAATGGCATAAATTACATATTGCAACTACAGAACCAACAAATTGATAAATATGTACGGGGAGTAATTCTAGTGTCTTTTTTACTACATTGTACGTTGCCAATGCTAATATGTGAATAATATATAACACGATGATTAGAATTGTGGCAATAAATCGGAAAGATTTGCCATTTTTTGAAGTGAAAATGCCAAAAATGTTAACTGTATATATAATAGGAAGCATTATATACACAATATAGTTCTCTTTTCTCTTCATTAAAAGATGCAATTGAGAATGTTTTGAATCTCTTCCTGAAATATTAAAGATTTAAAGAGAGTTTTTATCACAATTTCAAAGGAGTTTCAAATAATTGTCTTACCTTTAAGAGTATTCATCTCTAGACTGCTACTTCTACACACTTTCATTGGTTTAATATGACAGCAGTATGAATTATTGATCAAAATATGCTTAAACTGTTTATTGGTAAGCAATTTAAATTCACATATACAACTTTGAAAAAATTTTCATAAACTGACAATGTTTATCATTAAAGCATTTTATTAACAACTACAAATACATTTATTTCTAACATAACTTATTTTCTACCTTACATTATCTTTACGTTTATTTTAGATTCATCTAATGTTCAACTTCTCATACAGATATTCTACTTTAAATAACTGAATTATTTATTTATTTATTTTTTAGAATAATCTACATTATTATTACAATAATTTAATATGTTTTAAGTCTACAGAAATGCTAATTTTTAAGCTTTGAATGATAATTTTACATTGACTAATATGTTTATAAACATTTTTAAATATATTTATCAATAAATTTTAATCTTTACATTCTTTAAAAGAAGAAAGTGCTTCAGGCACATATTTACTTACTTTTTGTTAGCAATTAACAATTTAACAATGTTAGATATTTACATTTAGATTAATACACTAAGGCAAGAAGAAGGATGGTGATAAGGCAATACGGTTATCATTAATTTATAAAAATGAAATATATTTTCGTTATAGTAAAGCATCATCAAGGCATTCGTAGTAAATTATAATTTGCTATAAAAAGTTATAGCTACATCTTTTAATTAAACTTTTCAATATGTTTAATATAATCAGAATAAGAATTTTTTTAAATGAGATAGACTTCATTGAAAATAAAATATCTTAAATACTTTAGGAAGATATCATCTATGGAAGAGAATTAACTAACAATATAAGTTATGGTAAAATTAATAAATATGTTAAAAATCAATTTCTAATGTTATAAATTTATAATAGAATTTATTAGAAATGAACATATAAAAGAAAAAAATTTAAAAGCTTTCTCAGTTACTCTAAAAAACATAATTTCAACTGTTTCCATTTTTTAAAAACTTTTTTTATTATGGATCTTTAAGTCATCTCTTTATTTCAAATGCATTTTCTAACAGTATCATTTACTTTGTTTTGATTTTATTATATTTAAAATAATATCAGAATCTTATTTTCTTATTATTTAAACATTTTGCTTCTTAAAAAGAAATTATAAATTTTAATTATATTTAACTAAAATTGTTTATTTCATTGATTATTTTCAATTAAAAAATTAGCAAATAACCATTAGTTTGCATTTTTATCTGAATTATGTACAAATATACAGGACTGGACTTATGGGTGGGCATCCTGTAAATGTACTGTACCTGGGGACTTCCATATAAAGAAAATTAAAAGAGAAAAAGAGAAATCAAAGAAGTAAGGAATGATTCAGGAAACAAAATACAGCAGGCTATATTTATAAATACAATATAAATTTAAAATAGAGAACCTATACTTGAATTTGCATAAATATTAGTTGTTACACGAATCTCCACAGCCGAGTGCCCTGGGACCCTACATAAATAAATCTATCTTACAGTAATTATGAGAAAAATAATTATGAAATTAATGAAAACAACTTCAAATAAAATTATTTTTAAAAGATTTACCTTATTTTTTAACATGATTTTCATACATATTAATTAGAGTCATCTCATTTAAATAAAGGAAAGAAATAAAACTATTCTATAAAAACCAACTTATGTGTTACGATTTAAAATTTTTTAAATACAAAAGACCAATCTAACCAGATGACTTAAAGAGCAAATTTAATTTAAAATGTAAGAACAAAAATAGCATTAAGTGAATTAATAAGTTTGCACTTAGCAAATAAAATAATTCTATTGTGCAATATCTTTTGAATAAATATCCATCAAAAATGTTATAAAATTTTTGTATTTAAGATTCATGAAAAATCTAGAAACAATCTTCCATATATGCAATGTATTATATACACATGGGGTGTTCCACAGGTGGTGACAATATTTTTTACAGAGTGTTCTAGAAGTCTAGGGATTAAAGAAAGTCCTATAAACATACCCTTCAATCTTTCTTTGCCTTTCAGTTTCTTATCTTCAGAACCTTAAAGTTTTGCAAAAAGATTTGCTTGCATTTCTTGGCTCTTTAATACAGCACAGAAGCTAAAGAGCAGCAAGACTGAAGCTTTTTCACAGTGATTAGTCAATGCTGTATAGCAGCATCTTCAAGGGTATTTAGACTAATCTTTAACCTTTTCCAATACTGAAACAATGCATTTGAGAAGCTATATTTGCGGGACATTTTTGGATCCCCTAGGCCTCTAGAACATACTGTAAAAAATATTGAAATTACCTCTCAAACAGATTAGCTATTTGCATTACTAGTTTAGTTTATAAGAATGCAAATAATTTATATATATAAGATATACTGTATATAGTTACTTAGATTGTTATGAAAGATTACTTATTTAATTACTTCATATAAACATGTAAGAAGAAAAAGATAAATTAAATTGAAAAATATCCATAATTTTTTGAAGTCTATTTTCTTTTAACATAAATTTTTGATATTTTCTTTAATACATTTGTTCTTATTTTTATTTTTATATTACATTTTTACTTTACTAAGTTTCAAATTTTCTTTTTTTTATTAAGTGTTTTAATTCAAAGTACAGTTTACTCTAATATAAACATGCATTAACCCAAATCAGTTTTATTCTTTTTTTTTGATCACATAGTAATAACATTTACACAATTTTGAACTGTGTTTAATTATAATATATTTATGCAAACAGAATATAAAACACTGAATCAAATAAAACAGTAAAAATTTCTTGTAAAAATTTATATTAAATTTAAATTATGTTTTTATTTAAAGAAATTTTTTAAATGTATGTATTTGTATCTTCTTTATTTCCTTTCCTTTATATACATTTTCAGACAATTAAGTTTCAGGCTTGTGTTAGTATTTGGCATGCACTAATGAATAAGTGTACTGCTGAAAAATATCAAGATTGAAAATATGGCGCAATCTGAAGATTGACATATAACATGACTATGAGCCATGAAGTACAGGAAATTATCATAAAAGAGATTGGAATAGAAAAATTGCACCAAATGACTCCTTGTATGATGATCCTGACTAAAAGAGAAGAAACTGCAGACCTTTCATAACTTGTTGCAGCAGAAAGAAGAGAACAATGTTCTCCACAGAATGATTATTGTATATGACATTTGATGCTATTGGCATAATCAAGAAACCAAATGACATTTATGTGAATGGAAGTCATCAGAATTACCAACCTAAAACAGCACATAAATCCAAGTCAAAAGTGGTGATAAAGTGATCTGCTTCCTTGGTATCCATGGAATTTTTCATGCTAAACTTGTGCCAGAGGAGTTACCTGACAATCACAAATTTCACTTGGAAGTCTTGCATTGATTATATGACTGTTAGAAACAAAATTTTTGACCAGTTCAGTCATTGTTTTATGCTATTGCTCCAACCAATTCTCACTATAACCTAATTCTTGGCTCAACACCACATTTACAGTTCTTTATCAGCCCTTATGATGACAACTGACTTCTAATTGTTTCCAAAGATCAAGAATACCTGAAGGAAGAGCAGTGGTCAAATGTAACAAAAATTAAAAAACCACAAACCAAGAATTCAACAATCTTCAAGAATTTCAAGTGTGCAATATACAGTGGAAAAACTGTTGAAAGATTAATTTGAAGAATTTAAACTGGAATAGATTGCACTGTTAAGAATATTTCTTTTATAGATCAACTTGAAACTTAATTTTCCAACTATGTATTACTACACTAATCTTAGCTTTTCATTAATCTGGACAACCTTATACAGTAATGAGTTTAGATCAATGAGAGTACACTACATTTTTAAATTTTCTCTGTCCAAAAAATCTAAATATAAAAATACATCAGAATTAATGGATATTTATTCCAAAGCTGTTATAATAAACAATATTTCATTAATTTTTATCTTCTTATAATATAATAAATGTAATTTATTAAAGAAAACAATAATTTTACACCACAAGGCTACCACATCAAAACAAAAAAATATAGAACTTTAAGTGCATCTAACTAATAAATTAATAAATACTTTGTTAAATATTCTATGATTCTGCTACATAATTTGTTACTGAATTATATTTGATAAATAAGTTGCATAAATACTCTTAATTATAATATAAAAACAATATAGAATAGATTAAAATGAATTTATATTACATTTAAGGTTTAGACCACTATGAACAATTTTTATACAAGTAATGTGCTATGGTTTATATTATACATGATTTTCACTATGAGATATGATGTCAGTGAAGTTTATTAATCTCACAAAAGTATAAAACAACAGAACACAACAGTATATATTTTATAACTTCTATTACTTTACAAACTAATTTTCAATGAAATTACTTTTTACAAAATGACTAGATTAAAAAAAAGAAAAAAAAGAAAAAGCATTTTCTTCACTGGAAGTGTTGTAAAGACCAAAATTAAATTTTTTTAATATTAATTTTTATAAATTATCTATCGCTGTAAAAAATAAATCAGGAAAACAAAATTATAATCATTTTGTGTTGACTCTTATATTATAAAATGTGGGTTATTTGTATTGCTTTCATTAGATGTGTTAGCTCAAGATAGTAATGACATAAAAAAATAATTAGCTTAACAGTGTAATAATATTAATCTTGAATGATTATTAAAACTTTTTTTTTTTAACAATTTTAACAGTAGAGTATAACCATTCTTCTTTTATAATAGTTATACTTTCAAAATATTTTGAAAATCTTTTTCCATAATAATTTTATTAATTTTTAACGTATTGCCTGAGACATGTGTAATGGAGTTAACATGAGTTCAAAAGCAGTATCTTTTAAATTAGCACCTCGTAAATTTGCTTCATGTAGATCACTTCCAGATAAGTCACAATTCTAAAACAAAACTTAAAACTTATATAAACTGAAAACTTTTAAATATAAAGCAGAAATAATTCATAAAATAATTAAGATTCACCTCCAAATCTGCTCCTGCTAATACTGCACCTCTTAAATCACAATTTTGTAAATTGGCATTTTTTAATGTTGCAACTCTTAAATTGACTCCAGACATTTGGCTGCCTTCAAGATTAGCACCTTTAAGATTAACACCTAAAATCATTTAAACATAATAATCAATAAGCAAGAAACTTTAAATGTTGTTTTATGTAAGTAGTTGAAATATATGACAAGAAAAAATTCTTACCTTCCATATTGGCTCTATTTCCAGCAGGGTCTTCTAGTATACATGATCTCAGATCTGCTCCTTCCAAATTAGCACAAAGCATTTTCACTCCTAGCATAATAGTGCCCTAAAAATAATAATTAGCCACAATCTAAATAAAATCTGTAAATAAAAATAAATAATTTTACATTGTTATATAGTCTACTATAATAAATTTTTATACAGAAAATATGAAAGCACCAACTTCCAAATTTGCTAAAGAAAGATCAGCTCTTTCTAAACAGCAATAACTTAAATTTGCTCCTGTTAGTTTTGCACGATGAAGATTGGCATATTTGAAATTAATATGTCGTAAATCTAGGCGTGACAAATCAGCTCCTGCTAAATTTACACCCTAAAAAATAATACAAAGTATAATATAAAATTTAACTGAACCTCAATAAAATTAAAATTTATATTATTTTATTAAAATATACCTGAAACCGGAGGTCAGCTGTATGAGGTGTTGAAATAAGAGCATTTATAACATCTCTTCGTGAAAGTGGTGTCTGATCTGTTGGACCTTGTTCATCCTAAAATATAAAAATAAGGAACGTATTGTCTAAAATAATAATTTAATTTTTAACTTATTCAATGAATTACGAATTACTTAAATACATTAATGAAACCTTTATATTAAAACTTCAATATATTTTTTTAAATAAAATAATTTCTAAAATTTTAACAATATTATATATATATATATATTTGTTAAATTTTTAGAAATCATTTTATATAATTCCTAAAATTTATTTTATATTAATAATATATATATACACACACATACATACATACATATACAGTAAGACCCCACTCAACGCAGGGGATGCGTTCCTGGATGACAAAGCACTAAATGAAACAGCGTTAAACAAGGTCATTTTAACATAGAGTAAATAGGGAAACATGCGACTATTTTTGGTCACATGTTTCCCTATTTTAAGATTTTTTTATATTTTAAGATATTTTTATATTAATTTGTATAATAATATATGTTAAATAACACAAACATATGCACACAGAATTGAATTGTAAAGTTCATTTTTTGTAATGAAGGTCCTGACTTTTCTGAAATTCTTGTTCTTTTGCAATAAAGTTCTGAAGTTTCATTTGTCGCTTTTTTCTTTCCTAAAGCAAATGTCAGTAGCGGAAGATCGCATTCATAACGCCTTGTTTTACTTTTGCACTACTTTCAAAATCTAGATCATTCGCTACAGTTTAATAAACAATTTTGGTTATCTTACCAAACTTTTACTAAGGAAATCTGTAGATAAATTTTTTGGGTTCTTCATTTTCAGAATCTCTATTTTCCAGATGGATTCCATGTTCTGCTAGTTCTTGCATGTTCTGGTAAGGCTCTCACCAGAAACCTGCTGTAACTCCTCAATATCCTGCTTGTTTATATCTCCTAGTCCTGCTATATTGACCTTAGAGTTTGGTTGACCTAATGATACAGCAATAGGCTCTTCTCATTGAGAGTTCTTGAATACCTTCAGCCATAACTTCTTCCACACTTTGTTTGTGCATTTATCAGTTAATCATTTTCATGCCAAGCAAAGTTGATATTTCCTATGGCATCCATAATGTTATATTTTTTTCGAAATTGCACAAAACAAGCATAGATTTAAAGAAAGTACATCTTTTTGCCACGTTTTGCTGATTGGTTTGTATTTGCAAATAATTGTATTATATACGAATCAATGAAATGCTGTGATAATTTAAATCAGTGTAAATTTTGGGCTTTTTGTTGGCTTCAAGCAGACTGCATTATAGTGAGGCAGCGTTAAGCGGGGTCTTACTGTATATTGTTCACATCACAATATATATATAAACATCAGCTCTTCTTTTAAAGATATATACATAATACATACATACATATATACAGGGTAAAACAGAGAAAGTGGAGATTATAAAAGCTCAATAACTCAGTGAAAAAGTTATTTCAGAAATTACAAATATATCAGCTTAAAGGTAATTAAAAAGCATTTTAGTTTTTGAAAATGACCTCTTTGAGGTGACCTCTGTCTCTGCATAGACATTCATCTATTCTTGAGAACATAGTCATTATAATCCACATTTCTAATGGGATTCTGTCTATTTCTTCTCTAATTCTGAGTGAGTTTAAGCTTGGCAATATTGTATGGGCAGTTAATAACATTGCTTTTCAAATATCCCCACAAAAAAAAGAAAGAAAAAAAATCATGCAGTCTTGTGGGCACAAGAAAGAGATGACATGATTGGGAAACAACTGTCTTACAGTAGTCATGGATATTCTGGCTGTGTGAGCTGTCACTGCATCTTGTTGGAACCACGTCTGATCACTAATAAGAAATCTGGTTAATTCTTGAATTGAAAACATCTGGATCATGTAGGCATAGTAAACTGATGTAATAGTTGTCACTGTCTTCAAAACAGTAAGGGACTAAAGACAATATTGTATACTAAACTGTAACCATGACACTGTGCAAAGGCTTCTGTAGTAGTTCATGGAAATTTTCTAGTGAACAATATTGCAAATTTGTTTATTCACAAAATCTGACAAATGAGAACATGCTTCATCACTGACAAACAGACTGTGAATAAGATCATTCTCTTCTAAAAGATTCAGCAATTGATGACAAAAACTTGTTCAGCTAACATGATTGCCATCATTCAATGCATGCATTATCTGTATTTTGAATGAGTGAAAATGTAAGTCTATCAAAAACACTCCTGTTCAAAATGTTTAAAGAAACTCCAAGGCAGCAAGCAGAGAGTCATGGACTGTGTTAGATGGCAGCCCTCACATTCATGATATTTTCTGGGATATATATAGTGATACCCTGAACTTACGCGATAGGTGGGACTGAGCGATAACTGCGTAAGTTGAATTCGCGTAAGTCAGGGTATAATTTCGCAATTTGTGTAAAACCCAAGTTGGATGTATGTAAGCTAATAAATGTTCTCGTTAATCTTATCTCATCTTTTGATTCATTCATGGTTAGAAGAAATCACCACATATTATCTCTCAAGGCTCCTTAGATATAACAAACACAGAAATAAATAACACAAAATAAATTGTAGATATGTGTCGATTCCACGTGACACGTCTGAACATGTAAGCTGAACAATAGTGTGGGGGGAGTGAGTAATGAAGAGTTGCGTGGCGCTCAAACAAAAGACGAATCGACAAGATTTGAAAATTGCGTAACTCCGGGTTCGCGTAAGTCGGAGTAGCATAAGTCGAGGTATTACTGTATACTTCTTGCCGCACCTGGAGGCTTCTTTTTTTTAGTGCAGAACTAGTTTCCTGAAAGTTCTTAATCCATGTCATGATGGTATATCTGGATGTCACTGGAACATTTCAATGGATGTTGAAGTAGTCATAACGCCTAGCAAAATAACCATCAAGTGGCCATGATACAATCACTATTTTATAATACGTTTTAATGGCAAACACTCATCACACACCTGACCACTGGTTCATGATTACTAAACGCTGTATTTGTGACAGAACAGCATCAGTGAGTAAGTTATGCCACCCTACAAATATCTGGAAAAATCAACTTTGAAAATCTCATTTCTCTGTCCTCCCAATATAGAGTGTTTCAAGCATCTCATTATCCAAAACTTTACTTACATTAACTGATATTTACTCATCATCAAGTTTTCCATTTATAGTTATACAAGACAAACCCAAATACCCTTAATGAATTTAATGCAAATATATTGAAAATGAAATTTCTCATATTAAAGTGCAATGCTACACAAAATATTAGCAGACCTAATGAAAAGAATTTGAGCTTGCATTGCTACAGAAGAAATCATTTTGAACACTTACTATGATCATACATAGGTGATATCGTAAAGAGCTCTTTTGTATTATAAAATGTTATGAACATTTTACAACATAAAACATTTATCAAATACATATAACATTTCATATATAAAGTGTGATTTTTTGAATCACAAAATGTGTATGTATGTATTGTGTGTGCTAAAGGATTTTTGTATTTGTTTATAAAAAAATATTTTGATTCTATTCTGTTTTAAATATGTATTGTTTTACTAATTATTAATTATAACTTTTAAAAAATTAGAACAAATGATAACTTTACATAAAATACCTATTGTGAAAATTTGACTATATTTAAAGAGTAATATTTAATTTCTGAATTTTTCTGTATAATATTAATATAAAATTCAAATAGTAAAAAGAACTAATGAATTCTTCTCTAACTGCACTTACAAAAAATAACTAAAATAAATCAAAAATTTTTTCAATTCATTCCTGATGAAGGTGAATTAATTGACTGAAAACGTTAGATGCTTCAATAAAATAGACTGCATTTTAAAGATTTGTAAGATTTAGAACTAATGAATTGTATTAACACAATTGAAGCTAACACTAAAGAAATGCTAACTCTATATACTGTAGTTTCTAATTAATAAAATTAGATTCCAAGATATATTTAATTTAAAATTTACTTGAATAGCTGCTTCTAAAGATGGCACTAAAGATTCTATTCCAAAAAACCGAGCTTCTTCCAGAACACCTATAAAAGTATAAAAGAATAATTTGAAATGATTAAAAGTTGTTTATTTAATTAAATAATTAAGGCAATATAAAATGCTACCTTGTGGATTAATATTTTTATCTAAAACTAGCTGTCCATGTCTTAAATAATTCAACACAGGTTCAAAATAGACAGGACTTCGATCAACAAGAAAAGCTCCTTTTTTATCAATTGCACTTGGCCATAAAGTATTTCCTTCTTCATCAGCAAACATTCGAGCCAACATAGAATTTGGTTCCTTAATAACTAAAGTACTTCTGAAATATGTAAATTTTCAATTAAAAAATTATTTTATTACTGAAAAAATAATAATTGAATTATTTTATATAGAATTTATAAAATTTAAGAATATACAGTATATAACCAAAATTAATTTTACTATGAAAATAATAAATTTTTGTTAAACATATAATTAAAAACAAATAATTTATTTAAATAACTAAAAAAACATAAAGAATACTTTTGCTAATTCTTAATTAACTATTAATAATTAACTTAAATTTTTTAAAACAAAAACTATACAAAAAAGAATTATGGTTCTTTTTTCTAGGACAGCTGATTAGACTATTAGTGGTTCTTAATACCAACAATATTAATCAGGCATCCATTTAGATTCCTATTTCTGTAGCCATTTTCTAATAACTACAGATGCAGTTGTATTGACAGATAATTTAATAAATAAATTTTGTTGATGAAACAGTTCATCCTTACTTGTTATTGTCTGCAGGAGCTGCACCAGCACTTATTAGAAAACAGTTATGGAAATAGGAATCTAAATAGATACCTAATTAATACAGTCAACATTAAGAACCAATAATAAAAACTCTAATTTCAGGAAATAATCACAAATATGGAATTTGACAGAAAATATAAAACTATGTAATTGTTGTAATAATTTTTTCAAAAATAAATAATAGATCACCCAACTACACCTTAAGTTGCTGAGACAATTTATTTAAACATAAATAACATTTTTGGCCTATTCAATAAGCCATCCTCAGGCTAAATGAGAAAATAACAATGTTCTAAAACAGAATATAAATTCAAATAAAAAAATGTTAGTTACAAAAATAGGATGTAAACATTAGTTATGTTTAAGTAAATTGTCTCAGCAACTTAAGGTGTAGTTGGGTGGTCTATTAATTATTTGCTAAGTGATTTTTGTTAAATTAATAAATAAATAGTTTAGTTACTGACAAAAGCTAAAAATGATTAATATCTTATTTTGATTGGAGAAAATTCTGTTCCTCACCATCTGTATACTTCTTGCCGCACCTGGAGGCTTCTTTTTTTTAGTGCAGAACTAGTTTCCTGAAAGTTCTTAATCCATGTCATGATGGTATATCTGGATGTCACTGGAACATTTCAATGGATGTTGAAGTAGTCATAACGCCTAGCAAAATAACCATCAAGTGGCCATGATACAATCACTATTTTATAATACGTTTTAATGGCAAACACTCATCACACACCTGACCACTGGTTCATGATTACTAAACGCTGTATTTGTGACAGAACAGCATCAGTGAGTAAGTTATGCCACCCTACAAATATCTGGAAAAATCAACTTTGAAAATCTCATTTCTCTGTCCTCCCAATATAGAGTGTTTCAAGCATCTCATTATCCAAAACTTTACTTACATTAACTGATATTTACTCATCATCAAGTTTTCCATTTATAGTTATACAAGACAAACCCAAATACCCTTAATGAATTTAATGCAAATATATTGAAAATGAAATTTCTCATATTAAAGTGCAATGCTACACAAAATATTAGCAGACCTAATGAAAAGAATTTGAGCTTGCATTGCTACAGAAGAAATCATTTTGAACACTTACTATGATCATACATAGGTGATATCGTAAAGAGCTCTTTTGTATTATAAAATGTTATGAACATTTTACAACATAAAACATTTATCAAATACATATAACATTTCATATATAAAGTGTGATTTTTTGAATCACAAAATGTGTATGTATGTATTGTGTGTGCTAAAGGATTTTTGTATTTGTTTATAAAAAAATATTTTGATTCTATTCTGTTTTAAATATGTATTGTTTTACTAATTATTAATTATAACTTTTAAAAAATTAGAACAAATGATAACTTTACATAAAATACCTATTGTGAAAATTTGACTATATTTAAAGAGTNTTTTGTTAGGCTTAACATCGCTGAAAATTCAACGCAAGTAGGTTAATAGCGATACACTAATATACTAATTACATGAGATATACTAATATACTATATTAATAATGTATTTTTTCATATTTTTCGGTTATCAGTTTTTTCAGTTATCCGACCAACCCCAGTTCCAAATTGAGTCGGATAATCGATGCTCTACTGTATAAACTAAATCAATTGTTGTCTAGTTCATAAATATTTATCAGCAAACTCAAGTTATAATCAAATATATTTTACTAAATGTAAGAGAGCAATTTTGTTTACTTTTTAAATAAGATAATTATTTATTTATTTTATATTAAATATAAAATATTAAACACAGCATGATATTCATTATACATTATACATATTGGCTCTGAATAAAATTTTAAAATTAGAATTAGAATTTCAAAATGCTAGATTTTAAAAACTGAAAAAATTTGAACTAATAATATATATCAGTAATGTCCACAAATTATTTCAAATGATGAACCTATCCACTAAACATCCACGTGAGATCTGCGAATTTACACATTTGTTGGAAATTTGAATTTGTCGAGGAATTTGTAAACAAATTTGACATCAAAACAATCCTGGTAAGAATTAGGGCAGAGGTTACTTTTATTCATAACAATCCAATGGGAAAATTAACTCATAAGTGTCAACTTGGCACTGTAACCATCATGACCCTTTTTCTCACGACAGGGGGATAAAAGAGAAAGTCACCGTAAGCTCGGGGGAGCGATTAATCAGGACGGCAATTTGGTAGTTGTGTGCATTTCATCTCCCGGACCTCCATAACCCGGACTGGATCCAAGAAGAGGGGAAGACACCAGTTAAAAACCCATCTGTGACAATGATCCGTCCATATGAATGAAGTTCTCCACATCGACTCTCCAATATGCCTGAGAGGTATTTAAGGGGGCTGAAACTTGTTCTCCACGTAAAAACCCTTAGAATAAGGAAATTAGGTCAAGCACATGCTTCGTAAGGATTTATTGTTTGCATTCATAACTGCATTTATCTGCGTATAGATCTGTATATTCTAGATTTAGTTTTAAATCTAGTTCTAAATTTTATATTTTGTTATGCTAAAACCTGTCTTTGATTTGTCCATAGACCCCTGCTGACTTACTGATGCACTCCCCACTCAATTTGCCCTTCTATCCATCCAATGACCTAGAGATCAGGCTTTATCATCCTGTGCAGATTAAGTGTCAGAAGGGAATAACCCCTGACCCCCCTGCTTATCTCACATCCATGATTGCCTTTGCTACTTAAAAATACATTGGTTTTATTTATTTTTACTTAAAATTTTAAATTGTTTACCCATAAATAATCTTAAAGAAGTGCTAAAATAACAATAGGGACTGCTAAAAAGTTTAAGAATAACCTTCAAATTACCCTTTTTTTTTACAATATTTGGACAACTAGTGTAGACTGGTAGACAAAATTCAATTTCAAGTCAATTATCAATGTGAAATTGCCCAATTTACAATAAATTACCTAATTTTATAACTGGCACATGCACCTAGCTTCTTTCACAAACACTAAATAGTGAGAGAAGCGACAATTATTATTTAAAATATTTAAAACTCCTAACTGTTTGGGCTCTGCACTTATTATTATCATCATTATCAACCCATTTCAATTATATTATAATATATATATTTTTTTAACATAAATATATTGTTTTTTCTACATCATTATTTCTTACTTCACAAATTGTTGTATTGTAAGCAAGATGCATACAATACAACAATTCAAGCAAAATATACTTTTGGTGATGTTATAATTATGTTATAATTCAAGCAGCAAGGTGTTTCTGTCTTGGTCACTGTCTGCTTGTCTAAATATATAAAAATATACTAGCAGATGAGCCCAGCATTACTTGGACAAAAAGTAACAATAGCAAAGATTAAGATTATTAGATTGTAGTCGATCTTACCCATTTTCACCAAGTGCAAGAATTAGGTCCCCCCTCTTCCGAGACTAAGTAGAAAATTTTTAGATATCTGCGTACCACACTGAGAAAACAATAATTAAGATTCACAGCAACCACTAACCAGTGCATAGTACCACTAAGTGATGAATAACAAATGTTTTTGTAACCCTTCTGGGTTCTTCTTCAGGTTTACTAAATTTGAAAAATGAGCTAGATTTTCCCAAATCATTCATAAATATAAATTAGAACATAAAATTGAACATTAAGACGAAGAGTTCGAATAAGTGAACTTATGTGCATGTGCTCCCCGTGTCAACTTTATATATTATGGAACACTAAATATCATTGAGAATTTTTAGAAGGATCTAAAACTATGTTCAATCTCCCACATAAATGCAAGAAAGGCATCTAAAATAGTATGGTAGAAGCTGAGTTCTTCGGGGTAATCCTTAACCTCTCCCTCTCTCTCCCTTGTAGTGGGAATTTCAAAAAATCCCTTCTTAGTGTACATTCTCATGACATACCATAACTGTGTACCAAATTTCAACTTTCAACTCCTAACTGTTTGGGCTCTGCATTTATTATTATCATCATTATCAACCCATTTCAATTATATTATAATATATATATTTTTTTAACATAAATATATTGTTTTTTCTACATCATTATTTCTTACTTCACAAATTCTTCAACTTCTCATAGAATTTAATTATGTAACTTATTTGTTTGTAATTACATTTATAAAATATTGTAAAAAAATTCTTAAAATCTTGTTCTTCACATACCTAGTTGTAGCAAAATATTTACCACCAACATTTAATAAAACCCAATCAGGATTTCCAAGAGGAGCTGAAGGAACTGAAGAATGTTCTACATTACATCTAGATGCTATAGGTCCATTATTCTCGATTGCTATTGTAAAAAAATTAGAAAAAAAACTTTATTACTTATTATAATTTTTGCTAATGTTAATTTTCATTAAAAATAAATTACAAATTAGATTTAAAAATTTGTTAATAATTTTAAATATTTTAAAAATTTAATAAAGACTACTTTTTCTCAAAAATTATAAGAAATATATTTTAAAGTTATAAACTCCTGAAGTGTTTTCTTGATAGTCTATTGTTTCATATTAAGGGTGCATATAAATTTGATAATTATCAATGCTTATAATAAAATATTTAATATTTAATTGTAATCACTGTCATTTAAACAAACATATAACAACAACATAAAACAATCATAAAAATTTACATAAAATACAAAAAAATTATAACATTCTAACTTTGTTACATTAAAAATATGACAAAAACCAATTGTTATAATTTTATATTATTAATGCCCTCACTCATCATTTTAACTTTAAATAAATGCTGTAAGAAGTTTTAATTTATTCTGAATAAAAGAATTAATAAAAATAAATCTTTACCATTTTATATTATTAATGCCCTCACTCATCATTTTAACTTTAAATAAATGCTGTAAGAAGTTTTAATTTATTCCGAATAAAAGAATTAATAAAAATAAATCTTTACCATTTTCAAATTATTTCATTTAAAAATACTTAATTTTAGGAGAAGGAAAAATTGAAAGTATTACAAAATTTGTAAGGAACCAAGTCCGAGCATTATTTTTAGTTACTTTTATTTTTGCTTTTATTCTATTTTTGTTTGGGGCTTATGTCTTGTTAGGACGAAGGTTTTTCCTCACCATTCACCTTAGAAACTTAAAAATAGAAGAGAAACCAACTCACCGATGAGAGAAAAGCGCTGTAGTTAAAAATCGCGCACACTTGTGCTCCCGAGCGGAGAAAAGTAAGTCTGCACCGAGAAAAGGGGGAGGAAGACCCCACAAGCACAACTTAGGAAACTTGCTAAACCTTAAAAGAATAAAACATCCCGAAAATTGTCAAAAAGAATAATGTAAAAGGTTAGTGAGTATTGTTGGAAAATAGGCTGCCAGACAAACAGGAAAAAGTTTGTTAGCAAATAAGTATGTAAATGAGGGGAGTGATCGCTCTCAGAATTGTGACGTCACCTCACAGTATAAAGACTGAACCTCAAGTGAAGATGATCGAGATGAGCTTCTGTTAGCAACGAGGATAATGAGCTTCGTAGCAGCAAATGAGAGAGGTGTCCGATAGGATAAAGTAGTTCCAAGGCGTTTTTGAAGTTATTCGATTTGTGGATCGAAGATTAGAGAAAGTCTTGAGAGTTGAGGAAAAGGTTCCTAGTATATTGAGGTGACAATTAGGATCTTTAATTCATAAGATTTATTGTATATAAGTTAAGTCTTTGATTTTTGTCAAGTTACAAAGGGGAATAGATTTAAGTTAGAAAACAGATTGATTTGAGTTTTGTCGGGTTGATTCTTACTGATTTTCATTGAATAAATTGTTATTTGATTTTTTTACTAAATTTTGTATATAGTTATTACTAGAATATTTATTAAACATTTGATTGTTATTAACTAACTTTGTCATTATTTAATTCAGTGCACGCTTAAAGTCCAGGCCTGACACATTAACATGAATCCACGTAAAGTACCCGTGAGGTAACGGCTATTTCCGGCACACAGTTGTGTTGATAATAGTTGTAGAGGGCAGAAAAATAATATAGTACTTTACAAATTTAAGTAATTTTTTTTTACTTCAAATAAAGCACTATTGAATTAAATAAAAAGTAAAACTTTTATTTTTAAAGTAATAAATAAGCATAACTTACGTATAAATGGTTCTCCTGCTGAAACATAAAGAATATCTTCATCCCTTAAATTAGAATTAAATTATATAAATTTCAATCTATATTTTCAAATATTAATATAATATATCACATTGCTTAAAAATTCATTTGGATAACAACAATTTTAAAAATTAACATTACATAAACTGTTTAATAATACAATAATAAAATTACAATTATAAATATAATTTTATCAATGTTATCTTAAAACCTTTATAATGAATTTCAAGAAATATAGATATTTCCATCAAGTCTAGAACAGCAATGGCAAACTGTGACCAACACAACAATTTCTAGGTACTCATGTTAAAATTTTGAAATTAAAAAAAAATATTTGATAATTTTAAAACTTTGCACATGTAATGTGAAAGCAAGCTGTTGTAAAATATCCAGCCCTCAGAATAACTTCACCATATGAAAACAATATCTCAGAGACTAATTTTAAAATAAAAAAGGAAATTAAAGGAGACTACAGTACCAAGAAGGGAAAAAGACTTACAATAATTGAAACATTGAAAACAATGTATGTCTATTACCCAGCTTTTGAGTAATTGAGACTTTTACACTTAGTGCCATAAGAACTATGGGAGATAATGAGGAATCTCACTTTGGTTCATCTTTTATGTTAAAGATATGAGTCTAAACACTATAAAGTACATCTTCCAAGAACATTATTATGACAATAAGTTCATATGTAACAAACATGGGCTTGTATCATCATTGGTTTCAATGCCATAATTATGAATGCATAAAGCCAATTACTTTTTTCTTCTTTTTGCAAATATCAGGCAGGAATGATGGTTGAAATTTACAAGGATCTCTACAACTTACAAATGCATTCACAGCAATAGTTTCTAATTTGCTAAATATGAGATTACTACAATGAATTTACACATTTAAATTAAGTTATAGATTCTGATGAACCAAGTTACAGAAAAACGAAGGATGCCAATATAAGAACAATGGACCCATAAATGTAGAAACCTAGAAAATACTACTTAATCAAATATATTTCAAAGTCATATTTATTTAGTTTTGATCATACGTATGTAAAATTAGACAATTTTGTATAATTATTTACAAACTTCATTTTTTCAATTGTTGTTGTTATCAAGAATTCAGCCATAGCTTTTTTTTTGGAGCACATGCTCAATGTAATGTCTTTATAAATTAAAATTGCATCAAACACTTATATGACAGATTTCTTATATATTCTATATATTCTACAAGATAAAAAAAATCTTTTAGAATATATAAAAAGGAAGATTAGAAATAGAAACAAGAAATGCGAAAACATAAAATTACAATGAAATAGCAGAAAAAACCTACTCTTTAGTCATCCTGCATTAGTATTGTTTCATTAGTTCATTTTTTTCTAAAGATATTAAAAGCTGCTTCTTGCTTGCCTCCTTTGCTTTTTCATGATTTTTCAGTTTGCCTGCTAATTCTTTCTCCAAAACCCAAATTATCTAACTATTCTTTTCAGCTTTTGTTTCCTTTCCATTCCTTTTTTTATTTATTCTGTTTCATTTTTCTCTTACAGCTTCTGCTCCTGCTCTCTGAAGTCTTTCTCCAGATAGTAATTCTGATATGAAGAGCATACTAAGATAAAGAGCTTCCTTACACCATAACTGGAATTAGATGAGGAAAATTCTTATATAATCTCTGTATGTATGTGTAACAGGAAATGGAGCTAAGCAAACCACCTATTTTGCCTTGGGTCAAAAGTGTTAAAAAACAAACGTGTCATCCTCATTGAGAAATGATCCATGAACACATGAACAACAATAAGGACTCTTGCCCTGTACAAAGGATAAGTAGACCATTCTTAGTCTGAGGACTGAAGGAAATGAATGGACAGCCTATATATATATATAGACACACACACACACACACATATACACAATTTAAATTTTCTTTTCCTTCATATAAGTAAAATATCATCAATATTATGCTTCTAAAATCATATTCTCTCAGAAAACCATTGTGCTAAACCTTTAGAATACACAATTTGACAAAGACTCGTGTTAATGTAGAACCAATAACAATCACAATAAAGACAACCAGTATTATGATATGAAAAAATTTTTTTTAGTAATGGAATAATTCTCTTTATTTATATAATAATAAATAGCAAATATATGAAAATGGACTACAAACAGCCTCACTTAATGTCAGTAATTCATCCCTGAAGATTACACATTCTGTGGGAAAACATTAACCAAGAGTCTATTTCCCACTATTTAATCTTCAAAATCTAATTAAAACAAAATGAAATATTTCCATATAAGTAACAAACTAGGATTATTAGTCATATTAGGATGCAAAATGCCTAAAACATCACTTTGTGATCACCAAATAATTAATATGGTTAACAAATATTTCCGTTATATGCAGTAACACATACAATCTACGTGCCATACTATAAGCATTACATTTATAGTATAGGACAGCATATAACATATAGAAATAAAGAAATTTGTTAGAAAAAAAAATGCAAAAGTTTAAAATAAAAAGCTGGCAAGAACTCTTGCTTGACTTAGCAATCTAACAGGAGGTTAAAGGGACCATGAAAGAAGTTCAATAAGTTTCAATTATACTATAATATAAAATTCACATAATAAAAGCTTAAGAAGAGTAATTTTGTTAAATTATGAAAAATTTCTCTATTTAAAAGAATATTTTAGTTTAAAAACACTAAGACACAATTAGCTTAAAGTTAAAATTGTTTGTGGCACTATCAGCTATTATATTTTATTAAAAAAATAAAATTTATATTATTAATTATTATAAGAAAGAAAAAAAGGTTAATTTTGAGACTAGAGATGAGTTTTTAAAAAATTTGTAAATGTCAAAAATGAGTAAAAATTTTCACTAAGGTGACCTTACTTGAGAAGTGACACATGACCCCCTCTATTTCCACACCATTTGACCTTTAACTACGAAAATTTAATAGCATCAATGCCCTACATAAAGAAATAATAATCATGCCAAGTTTCAAAGGTTTTGGATTTATCCAATCCTTAGATATAATGCAAAATAGATGCACACACACATACACATACATAATTTTGTAAGAGGCTTTTTAATTTTTGGGGCCCTTGAATGTCAAAATATTGAGAATTGAAAAATCCAAGGAGGGACAAAATTTGACCAATTACAATAATTTTCCCTATATCTTTATATAATCTATTAAGAATATTCCCAGTTGTTATACTGATATTTAACAGCTGGGGAAGTAAAAGTCAAATAAAAAATAAATTGCAACATATTCTTCACAATATCTCTAATAATACCGTAACTTGTAGAACTGATTGACTATATTAGTGATATCATAAAACCCATATTTAAGCTTATAGAAAGTGTTGGTATGATGTGATGCTTAATGCTTTTTCCAGCACCAGCAACAACTGCAAGGCATATTCCCCTTTGTTGACATTTAGTGTATTTTTCTCATGATTCAAACATTTTACCAATTGTATTTGAATGTAACTCAAGACTATCATTTTGTTAAAAATGTTGTATTTGATGCAAATATGCTTTCTTGAAACAATGTTTTTCAACTGATGTAAACATCAGTTGAAAAACATTGTTTCAAGAAAGAAGTATATTCTATGAAGTTTGGGTATTACAAAACCAAAAATATTTAACTGGGAAAATATTAACCATAAACATTTAAATGAACAATTAAAATTACATATAATATACAATATGACTTAAAAAAATTAGCTTATTTACCGAATTAATTTAGGATCATCTATTTCTCCACCTTGGATGGTAAACAGCCTCTTTGCTTTTATATTAAATTTATTACTAGCTGTGGTAAGGAGTTCTTCAAGAGAATGGCTTAGCATAACAACCTAAAATGAACATAACTGTTAATCTACATTTTTACACATTTAAATTCTTATTATAATGACAATACCAAAATAGTTTCATAAATTCTAAAAATTATATTTCTGTTTATATGGTATATGCTGTCTACTAGAACCTTGTTTATTAATAGGACTTATCCTGATGTAGTTTCTGATTAGAAAATAGAGATCTTAGTCAAAGTCATTGTTATTTTCACCTGTGAAAATATATTTTGTTTTGACTTCTGACTAAGATCTCTATTTGCAAATCAGAAACTATAACCAGTATAATAAGTTCTATTAATATACAATGTCCAATAGACAGCATATATACAAAAATGTAAAAGAGTAAGGATATAAAGGTAAAACAAACTAAAAATTATATTTCCATTTGAAATATATTTTATGATTCAAAGTGGTTTTAAAAGCAATTATCAATTCTTAGTTGCAACAGACTGACAATATATTTCTTTCTTCCATACTTATATATATTTTTATTGATTTTGAAAACATCCATCTATATAAAAATCAATTCTTGTTGGTTTGTCTTTTATATCTTTTATACAAATCTTTATTCTTAAACTGATCTGACCAGTTTGTATGAGTATTACTTAGACCTTAGAATTGACACTAAGCTATGTATTACCCCAAAATATTGGGATTGTAAACAAACAACTCCACTAAAACACAATACATTATAATACTAAAAGCCAACCAATGCCATATTCCTTGGGCTACATAATAACAGCTATAATACAAATAAATTTTGTAATTTATTTGTATTATAGCTGTTATTTAGTCCGAGAACATACAGCACTGATTGGCTTTTAATACTATTAGGGTTATATTGGGGGATATGAAAGCTGTATACAACAGCTTCCACATCCAACTTGCTGCCTCTACATGTCATGCCATCTGTTGGCAAAAATCATAAACAAATGCTGATTGTTGTTGGTTTATTGATAACAGATTGTTAGTTTCCTGTCGATATCTTAATGCATGCCTAAAGGCATCATTACTGTGGAATCATGTTAATATGTTGTCCCTTTCAACAAATATGAGGAAGTACATTGATTCCATTTGTGAGGCAGATTGGGTAATAATGTACAGTACTCGGTGGAGTTTTTAAACTCCTTGAATTGAAACCAGCTGGACTACCACCTCATAACCTAGAGCTCTAGATTGGAGCACAAGTAATGCTTTTCAAAATTTGGACTCACCAAAGTTATGCAAGGGGATGAGAATGATCTTTTTGAATCTCAAAAAAACAAAAAGTTGCTCAGGCTTGTAGGAATTGCTCCGTCCCACAAACCTGAGCAATTTTTTGTTTTTTGCAGTTTTATTATTATAAATACTCAGGTCAAGAAATGCACATTTTAGTAACTAGGAACATTGTTTTTATCACCTTCTCTCAATTCTACATCCCCTCAAAAACCCAGGCAACACTGGGCACTTGTCGCTAGTTAACAAATAATAATTAAGTTTTTTAAAATAGTGAAAAGATCATAAAATAAATGAAATTGCTTAACATGCAACTTTCTAATTTTATTAATTGGAAATAATTATTAAGAAGTTAATTTTATCTTTTTGAAATAATATTCCTTTTAATTTTGTCAAATGATTAATAAATTAATTGGGTACTTATCTGTTAAATCCCCTCATGCCACATTGTGTTGTGGCACGTGTTGCTTTCCATAGTAACACTACATCATGATCTCATGTTGTTTACAGAAACAAAGTAAGGAAGTTTGAACAAATGAATTAATTAATTTTATACAAATCAAAAATTGAATTTTGATATAATATTTAAATGGTTAGTTTACCTAGGTAGTCCCAATGGCTGCGCTTCTAACTGTTTGTGCTCCTGACAGACTCCTCCCGCAGAAAGGGGCTACCGGCAGGCCACCGATTGTTTAATGTCACTAGTTATTGATATACAGTAGTTCTTGAACAAAAGAAAAAAAAAGGAAACATCTACTAAAAATGTAGTTAACCTAACCTAACCTAACTGCCACCATTGGGACTACCTAGGTAAATTTTAACCATTTAAATATATATTTTTATGTTTATACTGTACAATCTGAATATTTTTTCCAAGAAATTAAACATACAATAACTTATAATATTTAACATTATGTAGAAATACACATATAAGTCTTTCATTTGTGCATTTGCATTGATGATGATACAGATCAATATCGATAACTTGATACTGCTCCATCAGAAATACAAATACATCATAATATGGTTAGGTTCCAAAATTGAAGAGAGAGCATGAGTGAGTCAAATAACATGAGCCATTTATCTCACTAAATCACAAAATATTATTGTAATCTAAATTACATTATAAATTATTTTTGTGGGAATTGAAATGTGAAACATTAATTATTATCTCAAAATGTTACCATGATAATTGTATATACAATAGAGTAATTGTATAATTGTACAATTCGTAATTAAAATATCAATATGTTAAGGTTTATTAAATATACATCTGGTTCAGTGTTTGGAGAAAATTAGTTTTTAAAAATGTAAATGCTTTAATAAGCACAATATAATCTAAAAAACAATCAATAAAATCCATTTATTTATAATATAAAATAAACTAACTTTTCCATCTGTACTTGTCCCATTGCGAAATAAAATGACTCTTCTCATTTTCCTTTCGTCTCTTATTTAACAATCATGTAATAAAATAACGCAATTCTTTTTCCAACACTACATTTCTTTCAAAATCTTTTTTTGACACAAATATTTGCCGCCATTTTGAAACCGACGAACTCTGGTGGTTTTATAGATAATATCCGCAAGTATATTTATATATATACTATATATTAATCATAAAAACACACCGTTATATTTTATTAAACACAAATAAATTAATATAAAGCGATAAATTAACAAAAACATAGATCTATGTATGTTATTTTTTTTATTGTACCTTAATTTAATTCTGGGCTGTTTTTAAACATTTCCGCCCTGGGTATCCCGAGGGCCTCTTTTAGCAAACTTATTGCGGAGGCGGTCGAGTGGTGAGGGATGGGGCCGACATATCCGGTCGAACCACCCCAGGAAAAATTCCTGGAGTTTTTTCGACCCGTTCGGGGCCCTTAGTCTCGAGTTTTTCGTGTTACAACTCCCCGTGTTAAAGGTGTCACGTGGTACCATCCCACACTCTGACGTCAAATTGGTAGTCTAGAGTTCTAACTCACGTGCTTTCCCATCTCGCCATGTGAGTTGCTACACGAAAGTGAAAATGGCTGATGGATACGCAATTCTTATCGCTATCGAAGAGTTAGAAAGAGCCGAAAGACATTGTTTGAGAAGAGAACGAATTTTTCTACCACAGTAGATGACATTTCTTTTCGCGTCAAGTCAATACTAATAAAAAAATTTTAATTCATAATTGATAAAATTATACAGCAAATTTTTTCAAAAATAAAAAGAAGTATCTAATTCATCGAAAAAGAGTATTAAAATGATAGTAAATTATATGTATAAATTATTAAAAGCATAGACACTATATTAAGATTATTTATTAATCAGAAGTGTTAAGTTCTGATTAATAAATAATCTTAATAGACAAAACAATTTAAGAAATAGATCGAGGAAGAAAACTATATGAAGAAAGGATTAAATTAAAATACATTTTCCATTACATAACGGATTTTTTAGCTCCAACACACGCAATTAATTTTTCAACTAATTCTCTCCACAAAGCGAATTGTCTTTTTCTTGTAAATTTATTGTCGAATTTTCCACTGTTCATTTTCTTATTATTTTCTACGTATGTTACTAATATTTCTTTTTGTTCTTCGCTTATTTTTTAAAATAAAGCATTGGACGTTTTCATTTTGTATCTGCCTACTATATTGCTATAAGACAACTTTTAACTGTAGCACGTGTAAACTAATTCGCGTTGATTTGTTATGTAACACGAGTGAGTTCGATGACGTCAGTTCGAGTACAACACGGAAAAACTCGAGACTAAGGGCCCGGATTCGAACCCAGATCGGTAGGCTGCTACCTTGACCTCTCGGCCATCCGGCCATCCTCTAAAATAGGTTAGACCAATTCACCTTCTATATTTTATTTTGGAATCAGCAATCTTTTCTATGAAACAGGAACGCGCCAGTATGTGTTTTAGTACTCCGCAGGCTTTTAAAGCCTGCATTCCCGTAAGAAAGAATATATGAGGACTGCTGGAAGCCTACGAATTTTTTTTTGAGGCCCGCATTTAGAAAAGGTTGCTGGTTACTCGCATAGGACCCCAAATTTTATCGCGTGTCGGTTATTGGAGGGGACGGGCCTGCTACGTTATAGCTTAAAGCCTTACTAAGTACGGAACTAGTTTTATTTTAAAGCATTGTTGCCGATTTTTTCTAACCGGTAGATCTCGAGCCGCTGAAGTAATACGATCGTACACGAAAAGCTTTCTATTTAAACATGTTGAGATACACTGTTCTAGTTATAAAGATTTAACTTTAACGATTTTTTCTGAATTATGAACTTTCAAATAAAATTAAATCAAAAGGTTACTAGAAAATATTTTATTTTAAAATTTATAAAAAGATTTTATGTACTTTGTAAACACTTAAAAGATAGTTGTATCCGGAACGGGCCCTCATGGGTCTGGCAAAACCAGCAATGGCTATGATTAAAAAGGGTGCCCACAAGTAGGAAAAAGTTAAAAATGAAAACTCTTGTTATAAATTAAATAAAAGAGATCTTTCAATTAATTTTCGAATAATTCGGATGACTTTAATTAGACAATATTGGATCCCGAATCTTACAGAATTAATTAAATGTTTCAATATTTCCTGTACTCTTAAGAATTTGGATTAAAATTTTAAAAAATTAATTTATTTTTACGATTTTTAACAATTAGTTTAGACAATTCGTAATAAATTCATTCAACAGAAGAGTCATAAGAATAATTAAAAAATTAAGAATGGACAAGTTTTCAGAAAATCTTAGAATTTTACAATTTCTCACAAGCAAAATTTTCAACGGTAAAAGGGAAAATTCCCGAATTACATTTGAAAAAAAAATGCTTGCGATTTTTCAGAAAATACGCCACTTTCTACGATCCTAGGAAAATTGATACGCAAGGGATGAAAGATCTGATTGGAGATTTGAACGCGTTGGAGAAATCTAAATACATTAATCAATTAATGAACACTTGGAAAGAAATAGTCAGAGAAAAAGGATTTTTAATCTTAGACGAAGATTGGATACAAGGATTGAGGGAATTGAAAGAAATTATCAACATCAAATTACAAGAATTTCTAGACGAGTTAATTGATATGGATGATCTCGGAGACATGGCATCGTTGTTCGTATTTGACGCAACTCGGATACTTGAAAAACCATCGAAGAATGGCAATGACATAGAATTTCTACAAATATTGTTTAGTGAATGCTCCATATTGAAAGATTTGCACAATAATTCCATGTTCAAAAATACTTTTAATGGAGTCTGCGATCCTCGACTCGGTAATATCTTTCCCGATGGTGCTATCAATCCCGATGTTTTAGAGAAATTTGCTAAAATAGTGAATTTCTTCTTGGCAAACAAAAGATGTGAAGAATCTTCTTCTTCTTCTTCCCACTAAGTTTGATGCTGTCGGAATTATTAAAAATTTGAATTAATTTTTTAAAGTATTCAAAATTATTTTAACAATTCACAATCCTATATAAGTTAACTGTTTTTTTTCACGAAATAAATTGTAAATTGAATTATTTTATGCATTTATGGGTTTTTCTTGACTCTTTCCACTCTATGGGCATTAACAAACCTTTTACGATCATCAAGTTCTGCAATGGAGGGGGCAGCTGGCAATGAGAGACCAGGCCCAACCATGATCTATAAATAGCCGTGGTCATACTATGTTTTAAATTCGGTAATACCAGAGTCGATAGATATACTGGCCCTTGCGCTGCCAATAGCTCCAATGCTACAAAACTGGCATAGTAAATATTTCTGCCACTTCGAGAGTGGCAATCGCTTCACGGCGTAACTTTGGGTCAATCATAGGGAGAGTCAAATGTAAACATTCAAAATTTTTTAATATATGAAATTTTCTCGTTTTTAACTCAGATATTGCTTGTGTCTTTTTTAAAGGACTGCTTATAAATACTATTTTAATTCGGTTTTGAACATTATTTATTTGTAAATATCGTTAATATTTATATTAATATTTCTATTAACTGTCATTTTCACGATTTTAGACTTTAAATTGATTAGACTGTTTGTTTTTTACTTACAAATTGTGGAGTTTTCGTTAAGGAAAAGAATACGTAGTCAAAAAATTTAAAGTTAAGCCTGTATATATATATTAGTAACATGGGATGTCTTCGGGATTCATGAGAACTCTCTAAATCAGGAAGAAAAGGAATTATATGCATTTAATTGTGGAAATGTATAGAAATGTTAAACTATGTGTTAAGACAAGATATATTTAAAGTGTTACAAAAAAAAAGAGATTTAGGATGGCTTCGGAGTTCATCAAGGTTAAGCCCATATCTTTTTTATTTATTAATTAATACTGTATTGGGTAAATTATTGTAGTTTGCGGTGAGAAAAGAGCTATGATATGTTATTCACAGTTTATATTGTGCGTATTAATGATAGAGAGAGATTAAAGTTGAGCCAAAAAAAAGTTACGGACAGGTTAGAGAGGGGGATTAAAAGTTAGTTGATTTAGTTCTTGGATTTCAAATATAGGCTGATAGAGAAAAAGGAGGAAATTCCAACTATTTAGACAACATATTCAATATATTTACAGGCACATGATAACTTAGCTTAGATAATCTATATATAGGCCTATATAAATGAATGTATGTGTGTGTGTGTCTGTCCTTCGTGCATTACCACACCGTTTATCCGATTGCCATAAAACTTTGGAAAGTTGTTTAATATACTCCTGCAATGGTTTCTGATATAGTACATTTATCCTACCATTTATCCTACGATAAATGGCGCGCGTGTATACGAGCATTTCACTGTGTGTTCGATCGATTTCAAATTGTAAAATCGATCCATTTCCCTCTCCAAAAAATATCTCTATATGTGCATTTGTGAACTGTTATTTACGATATTTGTAATAACTTTTGTTTAATCACTTTATTTCAACTTTTTTTT